AGCAGTGAATTAATTCCTTGTTTTGCTTTGCTTGTGTGTGCAGCTTTTGCTTTCTCTATTAAACTGTCTTTATCTCAACCCATGAGTTTTTGTAGCTTTTACCCTTCTGATTTGCTCCCCCATCCCGTTGGTGGGGGAGTGTGTGAGTGGGTGTGTGGTTCTTGGCTGCTGCCTGGGGTTAAACCACGACAGCCATGCCCAAGCACTGGCAAGGTAAGGTGATGCAAGAGGAACCACAAGTTAAGGATGTGCAGCGCATGTCACGACTTGCACTTCTCATCCCCAAAGCCAAAGAAACAAACAACAAAAAAATCCAGCTACAAGTCCAAAGGTATTTAGAAGAGAAAAACTTCCAAACACCTGCCTTTCCTCACAATTGTGACAAGGAATTTCACAGGGAAATACTGTACTTCAACCACCTGAAAAGTAACAATGGGAACAGGATGCAATGAGGATATTGATATTTTCACACAAGTTTCCAAAACAGGTTTGTCACTGTGGTATCCATTTAAAATGAAGTAGAATATCCATTGTGACATTTCCCTTTTTTGTGCACCGGCTTTAAACCAGGAAATATTTGAAAGTGAGCTACAATAAATATATAACCTTTCTTTAACAAAACAACCCAACAAAAAAATCCCCCAAACTCACACACTGTCGTACTCAAATTTTTAAAGTAACTGCTCTACTGGAAACCTAATCTTGTTTTCTCGGCAAACATGAAATAACTGCTAAGCATGGTACAAAATTCACAGTAAGCAACACACAGAAGGCATGTCTACAGTCTCCTTCCATTCTCCAGTCTGGATTCGAACAAAACCACTCATATTGAAACAAAGATGCTGGAAAGATATTAATTAGCTCTTTTCTTCCAAAGCATTCCAGCTTTTTCTGCAGGTGCAGGTACTATTTTTCAGGTTCACCTTTCCTCTTAAGACACCTGATGTCTCAGCTTTCTCTCCCTTACCTGATCGAAAGCGCTCATCCCTTGAGTTGGCGGAACGGGACTTCTGCGGTTTTGATACAGCAGCAGTGGCTTGGGAAGAGCCTGGGACTCTGTTCTCTGCCTGCAGGGATGGATCCACACCTGAAACACAGTTTTGTTTTAGTGCAAATTCGCCTTTGCAAATAAAACATCAGCTCCCCGTGTCTAAGTTCTTTTACCACCCTCCACACCTACTCACAAGATGAACTGGAGCCCTAAATCTATATCTGCAAAGATTGCTCATCTTCCAGCTGCATTTTAATCCAGTTTAACAGAGCAATACTCAGGAGGTTCACATTGTACAAAAATGCTGCGATTCTGTAATGAAGAGCAGAATTACTGCCAGCCTCAGCTGTCTAAGAGCTACTGCTCTAATGCAGGCATGTTGGGTGCTTCATCTACTCACGAAATGATGACAGTCCTTCCCATCCCCGTGCAGGGTAACAAAAGTAAGAGGAACCAAACTGCCCTCTAGTTGTTTGCTCTCCCTCTGACTCAGACAGAGCTCTAGATAACTCAGAGCAGTTGCTTACCTTTAGGCTGGCTAACGTTCAGGAAGATGTGTCTTACCTTCACATGCTAGCACAACAAGAAATCAAAGGGATGGACAGCAACCATTAAGTATTCCCTATCTCTTCCCAATCCCCCAAACCAGGAGACACCCTGCTGGCTCTTGATACATCAAGGGCTACACAAATTTGAACTAGGAACTTGCACTTGCAAGTCTATTACACAGCTACACTGAAAAATACAATGTAACGATTCCCTGCCCTTGGAAGGGGTTTTACACAACCCTAAGGTAACAGTAAACTTTCATTAGCCATGTTAAGACTCGGGGCACAAAATTTACTGTGTTTACTCAGCGCTTGTACCACATAGGGCTGAGTACATCTTTCATTTGACTCCTTCCTTCCCTTGAAGAGCTTCTGCTTTCCTACCTGAATGTCAAGTCTTTAGAGAACAATGCATTTTGAAAACGCAAATTTTCCCAGAAGCAGCTCTCACTGAGCTGAGGACATCACTCCAGAGGAATCTAGGCCAGCTCCTTTGCAAGGAAAGCCCATTCTCTAACAGGTAGGAAAGGGTTTCTCTTTCTCTCATGAGGCTCCTGTTCCCTCCTCTTTGTCCCAAAATGTGTATCAGGAAAGAAATTAGCAATTATTAACAAATCTAGCAATTAGAAGAGATTTTTATGAAGAGCCTTCAATAAGATATAGTCTTTAACAAGGCCAGGTGCCGGTCCAGGCCAGGATGCCATTGGCCTTCTTGGCCACCTGAGCACACTGCTGGCTCATGTTCAGCTTCCTGTCTATCCAAACTCCCAGGTCCCTTTCTGCCTGGCTCCTCCAGCCACTCTGTCCCCAGCCTGGAGCGCTGCATGGGATTGGTATGGCAAAGGAAAAGAGGTATGACAGGGCAGAAATAAAAAAGTGGCTGAAACTCCTGGTCTGGCTCTGGGCCAGTCTGTTGGTTTGTCCAGCCCTGCCCCAGTCCCTCTTTGCTGTCTCCTCCACTCCTGTCTCTGCCCAAAGTCCACTGCCAGCACTAAAGGCGAGGGAGCATCAGGACTTGCCTAGCTGGAGACAGGCAGACTACAAGATGTGTGAGGTCTTTCCTTTTATTAGTGTATGCAAGGAGCATGGGCAAGTCCAGGTCCCATCAGTACCATGGCACATGTCAGGGCTGAAGAGGTGCATCGCTGTGTGGCATCTTCACATGAAGCATTGGCACGTGACCCCTCAATTCACCCGTCACAGAGGTACCTCACACACAGCTGAAGCAAAGCTGTGGAGCTGTGCTAATGCAGACCTACCTTAAGTACATTTCCACAATTCCAGACTTCTTTAAAAAGAATTTTAAACACAGTTATTTCCCCCTGAACCATACAGGACAAAAAGCAAACTCTTCTCATGAAAATGACCTGAGATGCTCAAGTTTTACATAAAACACAAATGCCAAGTTCCAGACCTTTTCAGAGAAAACTTAAGGCAGAAGACTAAATGGAAATTATTCCCCAAGAGACTGAAATCTGAGGACTGAGGCTCTCTCTTTACCTTTTTCTTGGAGAAGTCTCACCTCAGCTATTGAGCATCCATTCCTCACTCAAGGTCACAGTTCAACATTATCACAACAAAGTAAACAAGAAACATAGTAAATCTCCTACACCAATCTCCATATTCAAGTTCCCAAAAGAATGTGCTCTGAAATTTTGTCATTAAGGTTCAACACTAAAAACCCACTGAATTAAAAAGGCACATGAAGAGCAGTCTCTTCATACTCTGCGCAACTGCGAGCAGTGAAGCTATGAAATGCTTTTTCAGCTAGCTCACAGGGCCACATGACATGTTCACACATCTCATTTAAACTAAGGACACTAATATCCACTCAGATCCAACCAAAGTAGCCAGTTAAAATTTGGACATTCTTTGTTCTCAGCTCTTACACCTGTAATATAAAGTAAAAAATTTAACTCCATAGCATTGAGAAAGGTAGTTGCACATTCTTCCTATAAATTATAAATACAAGAAATTATAAAAGCTATTGTGGACTCCAAGACATCAGAGTAAGTTGCACATTCCTTAAAAAAACAACTACAGGACTAAGTGCTATAGGGTACAAGGGAGCCGGAGAGGGACTCTTTGTTAGGAACTGCAATGATGGGACAAGGGGTAATGGATTCAGACTGAAGGAGGGAAAGTCTAGGTTGGATGTGAGAAAAAGATTTTTTACTATAAGGGTGGTGAGACACTGGCACAGGTTGCCCAGGGACGTGGTGGCTGCCCCAACCCTGGCAGTGTTCAATACCAGGCTGGATGAGGCATTGAGCAACCTGATCTAGTGAGGAGGTGTCCCTGCCCAGGGCAGGGGGTTGGGACTAGATGACGTGTAAGGTCCATTCCAACCCCAAAATTCTATGATTCTGTGGTACGTAAAACTTATCCCATTCTAATTGAATGTGAGGGCAAAGTACCCACAAAAACTATAAAACCAAAAATCACAGTCATATAGAATCACAGAGCAACACAGGCTGGAAGGCACCTTGAAGATTACCTGGTCCAACCTTTCAGTTGGAATAGAGAGGGTATGTATCCTTGAAAACAGCAGAAACATTTCTCAGAGACAGAAAACAAAGAAAGTGTAAGAAAAATGGAAGTATGGGACATGACAGCTTCAACCAAAACTAGAGGAGATTCCATCATCATTTTCCTTAACAATGAAAGCTTGAAAATGGTAACATTTTAATTCTGCTGGAGTATAAGTGCTAAGGAAGAAAAGGGGAGAAAAGAAAATAAAAATTTTAAATAGAGTGGAATCACTCTGGCACCAGAGGAGAAATCAAGTTACTCAACCAGGTGCTTGTCTAGCACTAACTAAATCTGGTGAGATAATTTCCAGGGATTGCTCTGTAAAGCAGCACCAGGACACTGACTGCAGCTGTGACCTGATCTACACAGCAGAAGAGGCAACTTGAAAATAATCAGTAACACTGCAAAATGATCAGGGACAAATCAGGATACTAAGGAAAGGACCATCACAAGGTAAGACTTCTGCTAGAGGTGTTAGAAAGGAAGCTGAAGACCAACACCTTCATGGTAGCATCATCATTCCTGGTGAAAGATGCAGAATGACACCAGGACATGGAGATAATGTGTGTCTGAGACAGTGCTGGAACAAAAAATGCTTCCAATTAACTGAAAGTTAAAAGCTTTGGGAAGAATAAGGAACAGCACAGTAAGCAACTGACCACCTAAAAGTGTAAGGAAGCAAAATGAACACTTCTGGCCGACACTATCCCCTGGCTTCAGCTCACAGATTAGAAAAGTCTTGTCTTCTGTTTCGGAGAGATCCCTTTGAAATGCCTCACCCCCTTCCACCCAAGTGAGATATGATTTTCCTGTACGATGCAGTCACCTTTTCCCATGAGCAAGGCTCCCCCTTCCCTCTGCAGCTTTTTTTTCCTTCTAAAAGTCTCAGCCAGGCATCTTTTGCTGCAGCTTGATCAAAATGCTCCCAGGGTCCTGCCTAAGAGATGATGAAGAAGAGGGTCTTGGACTACAGGCAAGACCAGCAAAATCCACATGGAACTGTCTCCCTTTCCCAGGCCTGCATCTCCCCTTCTCCAGGAGGAGTTTCAGCAGAAATACACCGACAAAGGAAGGATGAAGCAGCACCTGCACACTCTCAGACCAGAAGTCCCCCAAGTCCAGAGCAGAGCCCAACACCCATTTCCTACTCAGAACAACAACACATTGAATGGAAAAGAACTGGGATTTTGTGGTTGCTTTCCTTGCTCAGACAACACCCAAGGAATTGGCCAGGATATAATTGCTAACACTAGGTTTAAGTGAAGAGGAAAACACAAAATGAGCTGGAAAAGTTGGCTGGTTCTCCTATCTGGGGGGTTGTTTATGATAAGTCATTTGTCAAACCTCTCAGCTGTTTAACTCATTCCTATTCGCCATCACCACACCCTTCTGCAAATATTTTGAGGAGTTTTCCGACATGATTCTACAGGGCAACCTCCCAGCTTAGATAAACCTCTTTGTATTCAAGAACAAACTTTTCCCCTGATCTGTTTCCACACAACCCTCCTTCTCTGACTTTGCCTTGAAGCCAAAGTTCATGAGTTTTCATGAGGAAGAGTAACAGACCCTACATGCTTTGTAATAGCCTTCAGTGCAGTGACAGCTGTGCTGTGGTTAAAAAACTTCACATATTATACTCTATGTACATGACACTGCAGCTGTTTAATTTATATTTTCATATAGTGGATGAGCTGCAGTGTGAGCTCAGCCCAGCAATCCAATCCAATCCTGGGCTGCATCCAAAGGAGTGTGGGCAGCAGGACAAAAAAGGTGATTCTGCCCCTCTGCTCTGCTCTCCTGAGACCCCACCTGGAATACTGCACACAGTTCTGGTGTCCTCAGCATAAGAAGGACATGGAACTGTTGGAACAAGTCCAGAGGAGACCACGAAGTTGGTAAGAGGACTGGAGCATCCCCCCTGTGAGGACAGGCTGAGGGAGTTGGGGCTGTTCAGCCTGGAGAAAAGAAGACTGCATGGACAACCTCAGAGCAACCTTTCAATATCTGGAGGGCCTA